AACAAATCTGTAATTTTTTACGAAGCGTATTGGTGGTGATTTTGGTAAAATTTACATTTCGATTACAATTCACTTTTCAGTTTTATATACCTCCCTGAATGTGTGGTAATAAGAATTATTATTTAGAAAAAAAGAATTTTCTGTGAACCATTACCGAATTACAGGAAAAATTACTAAACAAATGGTTCGAATACCGTATATTTTTATTTGCCTTCTTTTAGCCAAATTCCAGAATTTTCTCTTTTTTTTTACCAAAAATGCCACTACCATACAGTACGGTATTCTTACAAGAATTTTTTTCTCTCGGTAATGATAGATATAGTATTCATCTTCAAATGGAAGAGATAAAATTTAATAAGTATTTTAAAAATAACATACTTGAATTCATGAAACAGTAAGATTGTGTTCGTACTTTCATTCCCAAACTGAACTTGGGAACAGAAAGCTTCGAAACCTCTTTCATTGCCGGAAGAAAAGTGAAGGCGTTTCTAGTATTCATTTTTCTACTTTTCTGTGTTTCCCACGGCACACAAAATTATTTAAATATTTTCTGTTCTTTTGTCAACTCATTACTTGAAATTCATTGTAATTTATTAGCATTTTTATTTTGAGTTCACTGCAGTATCAATTTATCACTTCCAAAGTACGTAAATGTGTGACTTCATCTTTCACGACTAAGACTCAATATATATTAAAATCAATATTTGCGAAAAATTCTTTCAAAAACTTTACTTCGAAAAATTTTTTAATTTTGGATTTAAAAAAGGGGTAGTAAGTCGTGATGATTTTGAGAAGTAGTTAAGGATTATTATTATTATTTATTTATATTTTTTAAAGGGTGAAAAAAGTTTCTTTTTAGTGCTTGAATTAATTATTGATATTTTACCTATTGGGAAAATGGATGTTGTTTTGGGTTTGATGGCGTGCGCACCTTATTTGGAAGTCATCACACTTTTCAACTGTGATCAAGAGTAATAGTAAACAGTGCGCATGCGTCGTCATTGCATGCGTTGCTATGGCGACAGCTGCTGTTTAATAATTTTTCTTTTTATATTCGCTTTGTCAGATAAATTCAGTCAACATTACGTGGTAGCCCGAGTGGTTTACGTCACCAAATTTATACTTTGTCTGAAACCACGAGCTTTTAGTTTTCATATTAATTCCTTTAAACGTGTTTCTAAAAAATTACTTATTTAAAACCAACGGAAATGGAATACAAGAACAAATATTTATGTATTCAAAAGCAAAAATTAGTGGGAAAGTGGTGCTAATTTGTCTAGGAGAAATATAAAAAAATCGGTGCCAATGGAGCTTAATTAAGCCAATTATGCTTACTTAATTGATGTAATATATGCATATTTATTTATTTATTTACTAATTTTGAAGTTGTTATTGCGTATTAGATTTACAAAATTTCTTTTTAATTTTTAGATGATACTTGGATGCCTAATATTAATTGCATTAGCTGATGATTCTAAAAGCATTGACGGTGGTTATGAATATGATTATGGAAAAGACCGAGCTCCATCAAAGCATGGTGATTCCCCAGTACGTGTCCCTTCGTATGTGAAATATGGACATTATGCCCGAAAGTATAGGAGAAGGAAACCAACATATGTTGACGGTTTACCTTTATATAGAGACTGATTGGCAAGCATGATTGTCATTCATTATTTCTTTTAAAAGTTCCCTCTTAAAGTTTGTAAATACTCATAATCTTCATCATTTCCAATAAAATTATTTATTTTTATTTGTTTAATGAAATTTTAGTTTCTGATGATTTCGCACTCACTGAGATATATTTCATTATTTTTGACCATAAAATAATATAATTTTTGCCGAAACACAAACTCACAAAATATTTGACGAAACTACTCCATTTCTGGTATATCATATTAACACCTACTGTGACTTCATAAGCATTTTTTTATCGGTTTTTGAAGTCGTTTGCTATATAGAACGGAATGATACATATATTAGTCAGATTACTTCTCAAATTTTATTTTCAGGTTTACTTCATAACGATTACTGAATATTCATTTTGCTGTCATTTTATGCTGTATTTTTATCAATTATGTTACATAAAGTTGCATTAAACCTATATTGTATAGTTAAGCCAGTAACGATAGTAATTTCTACAATTTGACAAAATGTTCCCTCGAATCATTTGCCATGAAATGGATTCCTCAATAACGATAAAAAATTTGTGAATTTTCATTGTTCGTTTCTTTCTAAGTAGATTTTGAACGAATAAATAGACGCTCAATAATCACGAATAAATAGAAAAGTTTTTGATACTAATCACAAAACGTAATGATGACTTGTTTTTTTTTTTATATTCATGAATAAATTTGATATTATTTAAGATCAAGTTAACAATATGCACATCTTGAAATATTTTTGTAGAAGATTCTGTAAAAGAAGTAAATTTTTCTATTTTCCTAATTAAGTAAAACTATTATTTTTATGCATAGTGCACAGAAATAAACGAAACACCCTGAATAACTTTTGATCTAATAATCGGATTTTCACTCATCGCGACTCAATCTTAATTGTTTGAAGGAATGATTTTAAGTGGACCAATTAGTTAGTGTACACGATATTTTAAGTTATGAAGTCAGACATAAAACCTACTTTCTCTTAAAAAACACATTTTTTCGATGAATTATGATTTTTGCCCACAAAAATATAGAGGATAGTTGTAATCTGGAAATTATGGTCTTAATAGTTTGATCAGAAGAGCGCTTGAAAAGTTTCGACCCTTCAATATTAATTTTACTCTTCGCAAATTTCGTCATGTCTCGAGATCTTTCTAAATTTTCCCATCAATTATAAAATTCGTTTATCTAAGCATAATTCCGCACACAAAAATTATTACGCGAAAATACGATCATTAGATCAAATTTTCTTAGAAGTGTTTCATTTTTTTTTCTGCTCACTGTATTTGTACTCTATTTTCAATAAGATTCGAACTTTAAATACCGGATTTTTTTATAAAATAGTAGTTATCATAATACGAATAATACATAAAGAAAACGTTTCGTAGTTTCCAATGCAAAGAAAAAAATTATAATTTATGCAAAAGGAAGAATTTAAATTTATTCATATACAGATCTGCTACGATTAAATGAAATTCGAACGTAGAAACTAAAATATCTTCGGGATTCTGCAAACTCTGCAAATTTATTTTCCTCTCAAACATTACAGAAGATTGTAAAGGTTGTAATTTTTTAACAAAAGAAAATTTTTGGTAAAAAATCAAAAATATTAATAAACATATACAAATCTATATGTTCCATTTTTCTGAACAGTTAACAATGTTGTAGCTTCTTAAGAGCAGAAATTGAAAAACTAGAAAGCTTTCGAAATAAATGTTAAATAATAATTCAAATAATATTCTTGACCCAAATTATATCAAATAAATGCCTTTTAACAAACACTGATATCATATCGATTTATAACGAAATTGTAAACCGTACATAGAAATAATTGGGCAACATACTAAAAACAAATGCTACTGCTACTATCTCAGAATCACCTAAAGGGAAACGGAAAAAATGGGAGGTTACATAAAAGAAAACCTTAGCTATAATGAGGCTTAGCAAAAAAGGTTGAGATGCGTTGCTTGACCAAAGAACTGAGTGCTTGAAGAAAAAGATAAAGAGGTAGGTAGAATACAACTAAACATACTTCCTTTAAATTAAACATTTTTTGAGCGATTCCAGTAACTTAAATTTTCTCAGTTTTGCTACCATTTTGAAGAAAAAAAATTATATGATGGCAAATCTAATATGCTATTTTTTAACAAATTTCTTCATTTAGAAAATTTTTTTAAACTTCATATTTACAAACTGTTTTTGAAAAAAAATTAAATAAAGCATGGCGCTTTTCAGTTCTAAAATGACTATTTTATTTCATCAATTTCCAAGGAATGCAAATCTCTTTCCATTAAATTGAAAGGTNGATACAACACTTTTAGAATTGAAGGATTTGTTACGTCAAGCGCTCAGGTATCATAATTTTGATCTAGTTGCGCTTCTATGTCATTTTGATTTATGTTGCTAAGTTAACTTTCAAAAAATTCTATGGCAACAGCATTTTTATTTTTTAAGTTGTTTATTTTTATTTCTTTTAGAATTCGTTATTTTTTTAGCTAAATGTTTTTTAACCTAACAGAATTCTTTGCCGACAGATATATGAAGAAAATAAAGTCAATATTTAAGTGTTGTGAAAAGAATCTTATTCAGCTGTACAAAGTACTTCAGCCAAAATTTGGAAGCCACGTAAGAGAATTATATATATATTAGATCAGAAACACATCATTAAAAGGCAGAATGCTTTGGTGTTTTCAAAACGTAAACAAAACAAAGCAAACGTTGCCACCGGCGGAAAAGAAATACAGCCAAAATTTGGGAGCTACGTAAGAGAATTATATATAATAGAAGATAATACATAATGTTATATAATATGTTATGTATCATGTGTAATGTATCATAATGTTATATATCATGAATATGATATAAATTATTTTTCACAACAATAATTACAAAAAGCGCTTCAGTAGAAATTACCGATCATTTTGGTGTTCCAATCGAGCCAGAAAAAAGGTAAAATTTACCATATTCTCTTAGTTTTAACCATACTTTTTTCTCAGTGTAGAATCAAGAGTTAAAAGATAAATTGATTGATTATCATACCATTAAACATCAAAGAAAATTAAATGAATATTATGAAATAACATCATGCATAGGAATTAAAGGCCTCTAAGCATGTGCTAGAAGGAAAATTACATTTTCTAAAATCGCTTGCATTATCTATAATATACAAATTTGCTTACAACAAAAGATTTTTTAATTAAAGAAAGGAAATTATTAAACAATATTAAATTTAAATAAGCATAGTAGGAAGCAAAAGAAATAAGGAAATTCTTTTCAAGTACCCTTTCTCTTTAAATAATAAGGTTATTTTAGAAAGCATCATGATCTGATTTAATTTTTTACACTTCGTTAAAAATTTTGTAAATTACTTAACAGAACACTTCATGAAACAGTATTATACTAAAACACTCTAGTGAGTTGATTTTGTCATTACTGATGACTCGATTGCGCTTTGTCTTAAAGAAAAATATGAATTACATATGAATTAAAGGAAAAATAAAAAAATACAAACTTACAATCAATCTGTAAATATTGGAGATGACTCCAAACAGAGCTCCAGACCTTTTCATCAAGGGTAGAAATTTCGTTCAGTTCAAGGTTTACCCGACTCAACTTTGGCATATCTTTGAAAGTGTCTTCCTCTAAACATGTTAAAGCATTTCTCCTGTGACAAAACATACAATTCTAATGAAATTACTTACATACCATTCTAACGACCATCTGACAGTTTTATGCAAAATGAGCTATCGCGTCCCAGCTATGCCGCTAGAGGGCGAGATATCAACAAAAAAGGATTTGTTGTTGTTGTTAATTTACGTCGCACTAGAGCTGCACAATGGGCAATTGGCGACTAACAAAAAAGGATTACAAACGCAAGTGAGCCATGAATTGCACTGTGTTGCACACGAAGATTTAAAAAAAAAGGGAAAAAAAGAACGTGATTTAACTAAGTTTGAACACGCGATGATTGTAGGCGCTCGAAGCGTACTAAAATCAGCAAAATGGCTGCTCTTATGAATTGTTCGAGAGCAGCAATTATTAATGTGTACAGAGAGTGTACTACCAAGCAGAAAACCGAGTCTCAACGTCAGACTTGTGATCGTCACGGACTACTGAATGATCGAGCTGAAAGGAGACTTGCCAGAGTTCAGTCCAACGGAAGAGCAACTGTACGTTCTATAGCGGGGAGTCTTAATGAAGGTGCAACTACAAACGAACTGTGTGCGCACATTATACCGTATAGGCTACTACAGATTTCCACATGCTACATGTCAGTTTCAATAATACAAATGGTTTATCTGACATATGCTAATAAAATAGTGCGAATAGTAATAAAATAAAATAGTACAAATAGTAAGTTATAAAATCTGGCATAAAAACATACTTTTTCCAACTGATTTCGATTTTCATTAATCAAAATTTGACATTTTTCCACTATCTTGAAATATGGCTTCAATAGCTTCGTCAAAAGAGCGGTCGAAAGTTTGGATTTCTTATTGTTATTCAATTTTTGCGTATTTTAGCATATCTTGGAAACTTATACAATAAATCATAACATTTGTGCTCACAATATTAAAACTAATTTATCCAAAGATAACTCCATGTAAAAAAATAACTTGTAATAATTATTTATTATTTTATTGAGTAATCGAGGAAAAATTTTCGAAACTGTAAGTCATACAGGCATTTTATATACAATGCAATTTTCATGATATTATACTATTTTGAACAAAAACAATATTGAAAAAAATGTATGTTTGTTCAGAAAGAGTGTTTTCGTGCGTCTGATCTCGTAAGTTTGCTAATATCATGAGTAAGAAATTCTTTCTTTCTTTAATTAGTATCTAATAACATGAGATAAACTATGTAAATAAATTTAAAGACACCTAGATTAGAGCTCAGCAAAATAAAGATTAAAAGTATTTTTAGTCAACTGTTTTAGTTACAAAAATATTGCTGTAAATTCTCATGTTTTGAAGAGCCTTTTCTATTTCTTATTTACTTTGAAAATCTCCTAAATACCCCTTTCTTTTTCAGTAAAATCAGTTTAATAATTGGCCCCTGCAAGCAAAAATATTTTATAGTAATTCCAGTAATCTAAGCCATAAAATCAATCATTAAAAGGTTACTTAACTGCAAATTTATTTCTTCCAAATGCGAAGCTGGATCAGGAAACGAAGCTCTCGCCACGTAATCAATCTGGTTGTCTGACAAGTCGATGATTCTCAAATTCTTTAAAGACTGGAAAGCTGTATATCCGACATTTTGCAGATGCGATTCAACAAATCGGACATCTCTTAGAGATGATGGTCCTTCTTTAAACCACAAATTGTGCACAGTTCCAACATAGCTTTTACGGAATTCCAGTGTCTGAAGTTTTGATAAATGCTCCAAAGCAAGATAAGGCAAAGGTTCTTTTTCACTGAATGTTTCAATAAATACTAAAGTTTTTAAAGAATTTTCCAGACCTTTGAACTGAGGCTCAAGAAGGTTGGCAATTCGTGAAAAGTTCGATTTCGATATGGTTAGTTTCTCAATGGAAATATCTTCAAATATGGTAGATGGGATGTATTCGAAATTAGATTTGTCAATATTGAAAGTTGTGAATTTGTAACCTCGCATACCTTGAACCGCGGATTGCAACTGAGTCACCGACAATATAATAGAACAGTGCATGTGAAGATTATTATTTTGTTCAAGACACATACAGGGAGTAATGTTTTCACGAGGTGGACATTGCAAAGCATCGGCAAAGCAGTACACAAAAAGTAGTATAAATGTTTTCAAATTCATGAGTTTCATAACAAAAAGCACGCAAACGCAACTTTAGGGCGACTATCTATAAAAGAAAAAATTCGGCCAAATTCTACAATCTAGATCATAAAAACCAAATGACATAAAACAAATATCGTGAAATACTTTAACCCGATATGTCTGATAGATATATCTTTACTTTAAAAAAAGATTAGGAACTTGCTAACTGCTTCAATTTTAAATCAATCTATTGGCTTTTGATAAAGAAATCGCTGTTCAATTCCCAAGAGATTTATCATAAATAAGTGAACCTTTTTTTTCTAATGCGCTTTATCAAGTTCACTTTTTTCTGTTTTCAATCTCAGTACTTGGACATTGACTGTTTTTTAGTGATTTCTGTAGTGTAAAAATTTCCTGAATACTTTACTGTAAAAAGTACAGGCACCAGGATGTCGGTATTTTTTACCTTAAGATCCATTTTTTCTGTAAAATTTTACAGAGAAAAGTTTGATAAACCGTAATTTTTACAATAATATTTAATGTAAAATTACTGTATCGCTGTAATGAAATAAATATTATTGAGCGCCGATACTTTTTACCGCAATTTAATCCGGAATTTTTTTTCGCTGTGTGGTTTATTTATTTAAATTACAGTTATATCACTAAAATTATTCCTATTCTTCGTTGCCTTAAATGTATCCACATTATATATCCCCAATTTTATGCAGGCATAAATCGTGATTTAATTTAATATTAATGATTTAGTTTAATTAAATAATTTTATCATAGATGAAGTTTTTATTTTAACCGCTTAAAATGCATTTTGTCTCAAAATATTTTCATGAATATCATTCAATCCGAGAATCGTACTTTCCACTGATACAACTTACTGCAAATGATGCGGATACTTTTTCTGCAAAAATGCGGAATAAACTCAATCTATTATAAATTATGTCGTTTAAATTGATTTTCATCCATGAATGCATACTAATAATTATTTTATTAGTATGTATGTCATGAATGCATACTAATAATTATTTTATTAGTATGCATTCATGAATTATGGTATGGGTAAATAATATTAACCTAAGCAATGTTTTATTAGTATGCATAAACAATTTGACAAGTTCACATTTACACCCTTTATCTAATAACCATAGACAATAAATCAGGACAACCACGAATATCATTAAAAGTCTAATATTTGTCAGCGGCATTTTCCTTGATTAAATTTTCTTTGCTTAAAATTCACGGTAAGATAAACGTTCCTTAATATTGCACTATTTTTGCAGACAGTGTGCTTCGACTTTGTCGCTGTTTTATAGGTTACTGGTTTCATATTTTTACTGTATGATTTACAGGATGAAAACGCTAGCTGACATCTTGTGAGATCCACCATGGTTTGGTATGGTGACACTATGATAAACCGAATAGACTCAGGAACCCTATATCTCACCCTATAGCTGAGTCTAACTGAGGACTTCCAAAACCAGCTGGATTGCCAATTAAGAGGTGTAGCATGCGTTCAATATCAATGAAGGACATTAATTGTCTGCTCTAGGACGAGTGAATCAAAGTATCACAAACTTTCATATTTGTGGGAAGCATTATCTAACTGTGACTGTCTTTTATGAAGTTGTTACCAACCAACTATTTATTATGACTCTATCAACTATTCAATATGACAAAATTTTGTTTTGTTTTTTCTATCATAGAGTAGATATGACTGTTGTTTGAACCCTTAATTTGATAATCCCCTTCTCGTCCAAAAAGTCTTGGATAAGATTCAGGTGTGAGGTCTTACTTGACAGCCAGTGTTGTCGTCTTGGAGGTGCCATGGATTCAACACGTAAAATTCCCACTAAATATTAAGTCTGCCATCCAAGGTATGTCAGTGACATCAATGTTTAGCTTACCATACATTTGGACCAAGGTTCCAAACAATACTAAGAGAAACACCCCAAGTCACATTTGCACCTAAACTGATACGCATGAGTGTTCAAATACTTATAGGTAGATTGGATGTTTTATTGCCATGATTTATTGTAAAAGGCTCTAAGGAAAATGTTTGAAAAATGTGTTGACTTACCTAATTTTAGTCTTATTTAACTCTGCAGTATTAAATTATTTCGCAAGGTCTTTAAATTTCACATATTTTACTATATGATTTAAGACTGATTTTTTTTAATGTTTTCTGAACGGAAAATGTTTTAAGACCATTTCGCAAAAAATAGTTAATGGCAATATTGTAAATATTAAGACGTGGAAAATATAAATGAATGAGATTAACTGTATAATAGATTTCCCCATGGATGTAGGTGCCCAAGAAATAAAAGCAACGCTTTTTTTTATTTACTCACACATTATTAATTTTCAATAAAAATGGGATATTTTAAACATTTTTTTCTCACACCAGGTTGAAAAAGCAAAATTTACTGGAAAAATGCCTGTTTATTGAGAAGAAAGTGGGAGTTTTTTTTTCCATTATCATACGAAATTCATTTAATCTGTTTAAAACCTTCAAAACTAGTTACAAAATTAAGTAAACTGAAATTAAATATTAAACTAATTAAACTATAAAATTAAACTGCAGACGAATCTGTTTTTATTAACATATTTTAAGGATAACATCAATGGTGTTTAGTAGCTTACAACACTCATTTAAAAAGATATTTATTGCACGTTCTTTAACATTTAATTATTTTTAATTCGTTATGTCAAACACATTCAATTAACGATCTGAAACCACGTGTTTATTTTATTGATAGTTAAGAATGTTAAAGATGTTTTTATGAAACTATACTGTTTAAAGTCAATGATATTCGAAATTTTTTAAAAAAAAGTTATGTTCTGAGAACAAAAATTATTGGAAAAATGGTACTAATTTATTTAAAAGAATCGTAAAATATAACCATACTATTAATAACACCAATGATACTGGATTAATTTCTGTAAAATATTCTGATTGAAATTAAAAAAAAGCTATGTACTAAAAAGCAAAATTTATGGAGAAATGGTGCAAAGCAATTAAGGAAAAACGTTAAAAAAAATGGCTTTACAAATATTGATGCCAATGATGTTTAATTAATTTGGTAATAGCTGCCAACTTAAACAAAAAAATAAAAGCAAAATCAAAGGAAAAATAATTCTAATTCGTTTAGGAGAAAAGTAAAAAATCGCCTAACCATTTAGACAATGCTTTTTAATAATGCTTAATTAATTTTAATAATAGGCACTGCTGATACTATGGTAATTGGTGAGTTTTAAAAGGTTAAAATATACTAACATTGTACAATGCATTATTTTGGTGTATTTGATACATATTAAGACAGCAACAATTACAATTTTAATATTACTGTACAATTTTAATATTACTATGGAAAGAGGACTTAATGGCCCTTTAAAAGGAGTAAGTACTATAGAAATTAATATAATATTTTTAAAAATTATTTTGGCTTTAATAATTGTATTAGTATATGTCTTTCAGTTTAACTGTATAAATTCTTCAGAGTTTTTAATGATTTATAAATTATTTTCTTTTTTTTTTCAACGCACGCGAGGAACGGCAATTCAGCCAGTAGTAATTAGATAAAATAATATGTTTTTCTTACGATTTACCTCCTCAAAGTAATGTTCTTAAAGACACACAGGGTAAACTAACCAGTGAAGGAGCACTTAAGCTTCGCTTACCTTTTAAAAAATCATATTAATGTCAAAATTCGTAATTTTAGTTAAATGACAGTGTCAACATATTTGTTACTAATTGCAAATTACGTAAAAAAATTGTAGAGAACTTACATAATATTGTTTTAAAGTTTTGNTTGATGCTCCTACTTGTTGCTAGAAATCAGGTTCGCAGAAAATGCTGTTTACTAGTTAAATTTAGTAGGAATAACACGACCTGTGACGTAGGCTATAGTATATCCAATTAACGAAAGGGAAAACACTTGTTTATCTTATTAATAGATAAGACTGTGAAGGATGTTTCTATGAAACTATACAATTTAAAGTCAATGATATTTGAAATTAAAGAAAAGTTATGCTCTGAAAGCAAAAAGTATTGGAAAAATGGTACTAATTGGTCTAAAATAATAGTAAAATATAACCATGCTATTATTGACAACAATGATGATGTTTTAGTTTCAGTAAAATATACTGATTGAAGTAAAAAAAAATTATGTACTAAAAAGCAAAATTTATGGAGAAGTGGTGCAAAGCTATTTAGGAAAAACGTGAAAAATCGCTTTACAAATATTGACGCCAATGATGCTTAATTAGTTTGGTAATAGCTGCTAACTGAAACAAAAAAATTAAGCTGTGCTTTTAAAAGCAAAATCAGCAGAAAATAAGTCTAATTCGTTTAAGAGAAAAGTAAAAAATCGCAGTACCATTTAGACAATGGTTTTTAATAATGCTTAATTAATTTTAATGATAGGCACTGCTGATATTATGGTAATAGATGAGTTTTAAAGGTTACAAATATACTAACATTGGTACAATGTATTATATTGGTGTATTTGATACAGATTAAAACTACAGCAATACTGTACAATTTTAATATTACTATGGAAAGAGGACTGAATGGCCCTTCAAAAGGGGTAAGTACTATAGAAATTAATATAATTTTTTTGAATTATTTAGGCTTTATTAATTGTATTGGTATATGTCTTTCAATTTAACTGCTTAAATTCTTTAGCATTTTTAATGATTTATTGATTATTTTCCTAGTTTTTTCACCCCGTACAAAGAACGGGTATTCAGCCAATAGTAATTAGATAAAATAACATGTTTATCTTACGATATCTTACGAAGTATTGTTCTTAAAAACACATATATCACATTTTTAATGAGATTTTCATTTAAAATATCTTTAGATGCATACCTAAGGGATTTTAAAGTTAACTTCATAGTAACTCAAACAAAAATTCAAATAACAATTTTATTATTTTATAAAACAAGAATAAATTAATGATGAAAAGGAATCTATGAAAGCTTTCCAGCCTTTTAAAACTTTAAATTCTAGTATAATTAGATTTAAATATTGCAAAAAAATTATATTATAAATATGGTAAAAAAATTTTATTATAAATATCTTTAAAAAAATGACACACAAAGAAAAATAGCATAAACACTTAGGAAGTAATAAATTTTATAAATTCTTTTGAGTTCGACATCATTTTTATCTGAGTTTCTCAATTCGGTAATTTTGCAATATTTTCATTTAAAAACATATTTTCCTTTAGAATAAGTAACAAGGTCAATTTAGGATTTGCAAAACTGTGTGAGCGGAAGTCCTTTTTTGTCAACTGGTGTGGCACAACTGGCAATAATAACATCAACATCTTGGTTACACACCCATTTCAAACCTTTGTCACATTGAAGAGGATTATCTAGAGAAAAATAAAAAGAAATTGCAGTACTTGATTTATATATGTTACCGGCAATGTAGACTGCATTGAACGCATGCTCTGCATTTTTAGACTATGACTGTTGTTTNTATTTCGAAATTTAAAAGCTCTAATTGGCAGATTAAAGCCTTTGTAACAAGGGATTTTAAATATCTCAATGGAATTTTATGCAATTTCTGTTACGAACAAAAGGTAATTACTTTTAGATGAAATACTAATTCTAAAACTTATAAAGTAGTGTAAAAAGGTTAACGGAAAACAATATTTTTAAAAAGACAATATATATATATATGTGTGTGTAAGTTCAAAATAAAGATAAAACAAAAGAAAATTACAGACATGAAAAAAGGGGGAAAAAGAAAAATAATAATAAAAATAAAAATAACAAAAAACTGAAAAAAATAATAATAATTTTTCATTATTATTTTTCCTTTTACCCTTTTTTTCATATGTCTGTAATTTTCCTTTGTTTTATCTTCATTTTGAGCTTATTTTATGAGTTCTATTTACTTGCAGCTTATGCGCAATAAATTAAACTTATTGTTTTCTTAATTTTCTTCGTGTTTTTTTTTATTTATTTATTTTGCTATATATATATCTAATAATATTTTTGTTTAAAGAATGATTCTTTATACAATATACAATGTATAAAGAATCAAGTTAGTACAATCAAGCAATTAACAAATTATTTGATAGAATCAATCAACATTCAATTAAAAAACTATAATACAAAAGAATCAAACTGTTTTGTTCTAAATATGCTATATTTCTCTCCTAATCAATTACGGATATATGTTACACGTTCGAACATTTCAGAGCTCTTTTGTCTTCATTTTGTAAAGGAATCAGATTAATAAATGGTAGTATGCCCTAAAGCAGAAGTCTTTATCCTATACCAACTGACACCATAACACCGGCCTTTCGTCTTACACAGTGTGGTCTTGCGTTCGATCCCGATCAAAATATATGAATTTTCAGTAAAATGCAAAGTTTAAACGAAAAATTCAGCTATAAATTTACCTTAAAAAATTAATTACGTCCGTTGTATGACTGATATTCTAGAATTTTTTCTTAGGAGCAAAAAAGTTAAGTACAACAAGGAAACTAGCTACTAACAAAATATTCTCTAAATAGTTTAAGTTACATACCATGCAAATACAGATTATGCAAATTTGAAAGCGCAGACGACCAAGTATCTTCAGGAAGGATATGAATCAAATTGGTTCCAATATTTACATCTGTCAATGATGGCATTCCTGAAAAAATATTGCTCGGCAGCTTTCTTAATTTGTTGTTTCTGAAATAAACAAAATTTGTAAGAAAAATAATCCTTTCTTGGCATCATAAATTGAGTGTTATCTATTAAAAATTTAAGTGTTCTAAATGAAGTTCTTTGCTCCATAATTCATTTTTAAAATGAAAATTTTAAATAAAGGTAAAATACAGAAACTGGCAATTTTATTTTCTTCTTTATGATAGTGCGCTAAAGAAAATAATGAACCACCCTGAATAACTTTTGATCTAACAATCGGATCTTTGGGTTTTAAGGCTGAATCTTAATGGTTCGCTAATTAGATATATGATAATTGGAGCACGCGATATTTTAAGTTACGAAATCAGACACAAAAAATCAAATTTTTCGGAATAAACATATTCTATTCGCTCAGAAACTATTCTCAAAACTTTGTTCAAACTGTACATAACTGTTGACGCAGTGTATAAATTGTTGTTGACAAAAATATTTTTTCACCATAAAAATCATCGAAATAATCATATTTTCAATTTTTTGACTGAGCTCAAATTTTAGATTTTCGTCACGATAAATTAACATCTTTTAAAGTGTTGTAAAAAATTTTATGATACCTTAAAGCATTTCAAATATTTTATTTTTTTTCTTAACTATAAAATATAAAATTATAGTAAAATTATTTTTTGCCTTGTCTTTAGATAAATGGGTTTTATAATTTTATGCAAAAAGATGGTTCACCTAATTACAATTACCACAGATAAACTTTTTCTATTTTCTTAACTCATATCAATGAAACAAATTGATTAGCAGGTTTCAGGTTACCCTCTTCTTGCTAATTTTATAGCTTGCGTATTTCGCCATAACTTGTAAATGGAAAATATTCTGCATACAGTTAAAAAAATTAGTTTACCCAAAGGAAATTCCATGAAAAAATAACTAATAAAATAGATACAAAATTTGAACGAAATCAGTCAATTTTAGAATAAAATAGATACAGAATCAATTTAAATAATAAAATAGATACAAAATTTGAACGAAATCAGCTAATTTTAGAAATTGAAGCAAATAGATTGTCCGCAATCAAAAATACAATAAAATTTATGACAAAAGAGTTCCCTGAATCTTAGGGAGACTTTTCGGTAGCAGGAAGCAAATTCCAAAAGAACAGAATTCACAAACAATGAATTAGAGTTAGAGAGTAACAAGTGTGATAGTGAGAAAATATTGCAACGTATACTCTTTTATATTAAACAATACAAATTCACTAAAATGTAAGTTCACTAAATGTAACTTTATACCTCAAAATTCATATTCAGGATCAAGTTTATACTATCAAGATTAATTAGATTCAGGCCCAAGTTCGTGAGCAAGAAATCAGAACTAAAAAAAAAATCTCGGGTATTATATCTTCATGTATAATCAAACAACACAGCCATTATGGGAGGTAACAAAAAATTACAACATATACCAGTTAAATCTATGGAACGTGAATCCACTAAAGAGTAAACAACAACGTATTTTAATTACGGCAAGTTGAAATATTACTTTACGCTTCAATGTACATACTACGATAGAGAGGATAAAAACAGAACGCCTTAATAACTGATGATCTGATAAACAGTTTTTAAATACCACGAAGCAATCTTAATGGTTTGAGAGACTAACTTTAAATATGGTCACTAATTTGTGCATATCACATTTTAAAATAAAAAATCGAACACAAAACTGTTATTCAAACATACCTTAATTTCAATAAATTTGATTTCCTGACATTCAAATATGGAAGATTCAAATATAGACACAATCTGGAGAATATGGTCCCATTATTTGTTTAAAATTTTTGTGTCTAATTCCACTACTTAATACAATGCTTGAACTAATTAATTAGTATATTTAAGGTTTAAATATTACTAATTAACATATTAGGTTACTGATTAATTAGTAAATTGAGGTACTAATTAATTAAGGTTAAGGTCGAAAACCAATAATATTAAATCCTACTGCGCGAAAGTTCAATCATTAAATAAAACGTTATTAATGTGTTCCATTGGTGCACAAAAAAATAACATAATTTATTTATCACGTTATTTAGATTTCTCAAGTCATTAAAGTTATTCATAAAAAAGTATAAAGAATACTGACGCAAAATCCAATTTTTGAAGATGCGTGGCAGGTGTGGGCAGCATAGATCTTGAAATTTCATTTAGGTGATTTCCTGCAACTGCCAGTAATTGGAGATTTCTTAGAGATGAGAATGCTTTGTCCCCTAGCTTTTCTATTCCATTTCCTTCAAATATCAAGTTGATCAACTTCTCAGGACCGTTAGTGAACCAATCATTCCCAACTTCAGGAATTTTATTCTCTTCAAACAAAGCTATCTGTAATATACAAATAATTCATAGAACAATAGCTTATTGAATGAGAGTTCCATGATGGCCACCCTAAATATATATTTTTAGAATTCTTGTCAAAGATGAAACAAAATCAGTATACATATTAAAAATAGCTAATTGATATTTAAATAAGAAAATAATAAAAACGACATTGAATTAAAACTATCAATACTTTTCATATTTTATAACCGTCGCTGAACAGCCGACCCAATTTTTGGGTTTACAACTATTAATGTTCAACTCCGTAGCCTTGTAATTTTGAACCCAATCCAGAAGACAAGGGAACTCCTAGATCAAGTAGTATTGGGAGAAATTTGCCATCGTGGCGGGCTTGTTTTGATGGAGCGAACCCGCATTTGCATTACATGGGGAGGAAGACCACGAGAACCTCCCACGGTTAGCCTGACTGCAAGTAGACTGTAACCCATGATCCGTCTACCACTGAGGATATTTCACGTCATCACTGTGGTCGGTGCAAGCCGGATGCGGAATTCGTATCGACCAGCCATTGCCGGTATCGAACACCGGCTCACATCATTGGAAGACGAACGCTCTATCCCCTGAGCCAGGGCTGCTCAAATACTATCAATACTGAGGAAAACAGGACTGAAAGCATCACAACTGGTTTTATTGCCGAAGGAATCTGAGAATTAATGAAAGGTGTTTATAAGAAAACCCGCCATGTTTGTCGAGTCATGTCTTTAATCACGCCTTTCTCATTGATGATTCGATCACATTGATATCGCTGTTAGATTCGACAAGTTCTAACAGCGGTTTTTATCTTTCTTTCTCACTGAAATATATATTTACAATCGTGTTTACTCTTTTACCACAATTTTAAAAAGAATTTATTAATATTTATTAAATGCGGTAATTTTGGAATAAACTATACTGTTCTTAGAACTGAATTGAGGGATTCGTAAATGGCATTTCATATTAAAACAAACACGTGTCATTCGCCCATATTACAGTTTTAATTAAACAATTAAAACCGTAAAAAATCGAGCTAATATTTTGCAATCAGCTCGTCATATGCAAAAAAAAAAATATTTTTAGTAATATAATTTTCAATTCTTCAGTCTCAGACTTTCCGGAATTTTACTAGGAAGACCTCGTGTGTTCCTCGTGTGGTCCGTAACCATATTTCTATTACTTTTAACTCGTAACATAAAACCTATTTATTTAAGGCATGCAAAATACATTTTCTTATTATTTATTATTATTATTATTATTTTTATTATTATTTACTATTTTTATTATTTAATTTTTCTAAATCATATTCATTTTTTTATTAAGGATTGAGAATATTTGAATAATGAATAGTGGGACAAGAAATTTTTAACACATGGTGACAAAATCCAAAAGTTCAATGTTCCAATTCCGAAAATAAAATTTAAGATGTTTAAGGATTGTTGGAATTTTATGTCTTACAATTCAAAAATCTTTCATTCATTTCAATATATCAAATGATTAAAAAACCATAAGCAGAAAAAAATATTTATTCATTTTTTTAACATGTAATTAACCTTGGATAAACGAGTTTTATAATTATATGCAATTTTTCTACTGATTGACTTAAAAATGTTCGAGGAATACGGCGAATTACCAAGCAACTAAAAATAAGATTAAAAGGCTCAAACTGTCTCTGCTAAACTAAAATATTGGACTGCTCTCTCTGCTAAAATATTGAAAACTCTGCTAAAATATTGGACTTTATTTTCCAGCTTATGGCTATCCCCAATATTTTAAGAGTCAAACATACGAATCAATTACAAAACGAAAGATTTTGCTTCGTCAGAAAAATCGTGCCTCATTCCTCAAATTTTAATACCATCAACACTAATACACTAATTAGTTAAAATGTTCAAGGTCCACCTAATTGTTTCTGTAGTTATTTTTTTTTCCGCACGCTGTACATTTATGGGGAAGTTTTCTAACTTCTTAACAGGAAAAAAAAATACCTTTAACGAACGGAGATGCTCTAGTTTTAAGTTTAGAAGTGGCCTGTTTCGTTTAAAGCTGCTTCGAATCTCCAGTTCCGCAAGTGAGCTTTCAAGTCCTGAAAAATGAGATTGTCTCGGACGAAATGAAGCATCATCCACTTCGAATTTATCCAACACTAACTCTTTAATGTGCAACCCCTGGAACAAATCTGTTGGCACTGATGAAGCATTGACTCCTGACAAAGTCAATTGTTTCACTGAATATCCATTGAGCGCTTTAAGATTGGCTTGAAGATTCTCTTGAGAACCAACCCTGTAGCACAATAAGACTGCACCTATCAAAATTTTAGCATTATTTAATTTCATGGACTATTATAAAAGTTGTTACTATTATAATTATAGAGAGTCTCGGTATCAATCATTGTTAACAATCAAAAATGCAATAACAAAGTATAAATTTATTTTGTTGCATTTTTGATTGTTGACAATTCAGCTGCCTAGATTAGAACAAGAACTGGACACGGATGTTTAAAAGCAAAACGGGATTGCATCTATTAATATTTAAATATTATTTTATTAAATGGATTATTAAAATTTCTTGTTTCTATAATACTTGAGAGTATCGGTATCAATCATTGGCAAATATCACAATCAAGCTCAGAATTGTGAGCAATGAAAAATGCAATAACAAAGCATAAATTTATTTTGGTATTTCATTTTTGACTGTTGACAATTTAACTGCTTCGATTAGAGCAAGAACTAAACACGCGTGTTTAAACGCGCAAAACAGGGTTCCACCTATTATTTGAATATTATTTATTTAATGAATTATTATAAAATTTCTTACAATTAGAATACTTGAGAGCATCGGTATCAATCATTGGCAAAACCAACAATGGGAACAATGAAAAATGCCATAACAAAGCGTAAATTTGTTTTGTTATTTCATTTGTGATTGTTGACAATTCAGCTGCCTAGATCAGAATAACAACTAGACACGGATGTTAAAAAGCAAAACAGGATTTCATCTATTAATATTTCAACATTATTTAAATTAATGGATTATTAAAATTTCTTGCTTTTATAATACTTGAGAGTATCGGTATCAATCATTGGCAAAAACTACAATCAAATTCAGAATTGTGAACAATGAAAAATGCAATAACAAAGCATAAATTTATTTCGTTATTTCATTTTTGATTGTTGACAATTTAGCTTCTTCGATTAGAGCAAGAACTAGACACGGGTGTTTAAAAGAGCAAAACAGGATTGCACCTATTAATATTTAAATATAATGGATTATTATAAAATTCCTTACATTTATAATACTTGAGAGTATCGGTATCAATCATTGGCAACAACCACAATCAATCTCAGAATTGTCAAGAATCAAAAATGCCATTACAAAGTATAAATAATTTTTGTTATTTTAGTTTTGATTGTTGCTGCTTCGATTGGAGCAAGAATTGCATATGAATGCAAAATATGTTCGACTGTGTGGTGAATAGGGCTGAGAAAATAGTATGGAGAAATGTGTTATACGTGAAGAAAAATTAGAGAACCGAATAAAGCACAATAACAATTGAATTGCTAAAATTTAGAAGAAATTTGAGTTTAAAACAGTTTTCTTTCCTCCGGACAAATTAAATTCCATCAACCTTATTATTCCATCAAGTCTCTGTTGCTGATATTAAAAAGTGGAGTATTTATGTTTAATGTCAGTTTGGACAAACTACACCTACCCTTAAACTCTGACTTATTAATCGGGGAAGATGGCCAAAATCAAGGTATTGAACAATCTTCCATGGCCCTATAAATCTGGAATCCTAGTCATAGGTTTGAGTTTTTCTCTGCTAAAATTATTCAATACTGCTCTTCAGCCACTGATCTAATTTCTGGGTTTCATTTCACAGTGAGAAAAATTCTAACTTTTTAGTTAATGACCTTTTAGAACATTCCATTCTTTCCTAGTGTTTGGAAATCTATTTTTATTATTTTCTACGTCTAACACACTTGGAGTTCTCAACCTATTATCTCCACTTCTTTCTCCATGTGCCATATCTTGTTTGAAAATTTTGTTCCCACTCCTATTGAAACCACCTTCTTACTTGTTATCTGTTTGTGATTTTTATTTTGAACTTCTCTGTTTTCTTTCTCTTATTTGATTAACACTAAGGAATGCTCCTGATTCTAAACTCAAAATCATTATATGTCTGTTTTTTGTGACTTTACGTTTTATTGCTTTACTTTTTATGTAGACCATGTTGACTTTTTAAATATTATGGCTCTCTTACCAAAGATTTGTGAATCTAAATTAGTTATTGCTCCACATTTTCCAATTTAAAGTAAAATTTAATTGACTAATATATTAACGAATTATGCATCTGAGATGATGCATAAGCTTATACATAATAATGCAAAACTTATGCATGAAACATTTAATCGCTATTTTAACTAAAATTCTATTCAAATTTCTAACCTCTTTGGACATTATATTTTACTAGAATCAGTATGGTCACCTACGTATGGGCCAAAAGGAAGTGATATAAAGTCAGCGTCAAAAGAGAAAAATATTTCTACTTTTGTTATATTTTTTCTATTTTTTATTATTTAAAATATTCTGTAAGAAAGCAAACTAGAATATTGTATAGATTTTACATACGTTTCCTTAAGGAATAATTAATGTAAACAACAACAAATTCAGTCGTTTCCTAAGTCCTGTACAGTATGGAAAATAAGAAACGGAATAACATTTGATCTAATGGTCGGTTTTAAGACTCAATCTTAAAGATTTGAAAGGGTGACCTCAAATATGCTAATTAATTAGTGCAGACAATACTTTAAGTTACAAAATTAGACTCAAAACTGAAATTTCGTTGAATAGATTTTGCTCTTTTTTTGACGGATTTGGATTTCTGGCCCCCAAAATATAGGAGACAGCCGGAATCTGGAAAATATGGTCCCCATAGTTTTATGGTCTGGTCCAAAGTTTAGACCCCTTAATGTTAATTTTATTTTAATGTTAATATTTTATTTTAATGTTTTATTAATGTTAGTTCTGTTTCTTATGGAATCATCTTTGAATAAGCAAATTTTATAGTTATGTGCAAAAAAATTTTCAATTCACTTCAAAAGTTCTAGAGACATGGCGAAATACGCAAAAAATGAAATTAACATTGAGGGGTTCAAACTTTGGATTGTTCCGATTATTAAATCAAAATTTATTCAGGGTGTCTCATTTTTTATTTTGCGCAATGCACAGTGGAGAGTTTTACTATCCATTGTGTTATTTTTAAATGATAGTATATAGCTAACTATTGTATATGAGTAAAACTATATAGGGGATTGTTTTCATCGCATTAAATAAAAAGAATTGCCAATCGCAAATTAACTTCCTTTAAATATCAATGTTACTAAATGCATTGACTTAAAAGTGCTTTTAAAAATTGAAGATTTTGTGTGAAGTTCCTTAATTTCCTAACAGTTAGAAAAAAATTATATTATTCTAAAAATAATTAAAATGTAAAAGAAACCTAACATTTGTAAAAATTATGTTTTAAATTTTTAATACAGCTTAAAATATTAAGTTTTCAAGATAAAAATGTTAAGTATTTTTAAAAAAATTCATTTATTTTAAATTAAAAGGTGTTTTTTTCATTTATATGAAGCAGTTTTTGATATTACCCTTTAAAAAATGTACTTAACGTAAAAATATCATAATTGATTTTTCATAATTTTTTTAATATCTATTAAAATATGGAAAAAATTAAATTCCCTCAGGTGTATTTATTATAACTACGAAGTTATTTTTTAAAGTTTGAGCATATTTAACTGTTTAATAAGTAGCAAAAATAAAACTCATTGCTAACTAGGGTTCTCATAATTGAGATAAATACATCATTTTTTTTATCTTTAAAAGATAATTATTAGCATTATTTTTTCTTAAAAAAAAGCTTACATGTTTTTAATATTATTTGTATAAGAAATTTCTTAGATGCTTTTATTCCATAAATGACGAGATGTTACTATCGCAGTACGTAAAAATAAAATGCTTTTTTTAAAAAATATAAATACCATATGCTCGATATTTGCAAGAACATTTAGTCGCCTCTGGTGGAGGGCACTCATTTTTCAGGGTTGCTAAAGCAATACTGCTGCCTACTAGCACCAAAAGGAATGCTCTTATTGCCATCTTTTGAATCTGGAAAATAATAATTTTCTTTAAACTAGCTAATATTTGAAAAATACGTCAGACAATAATGAGATATCTGCAGGTAACGTAGTGTGGGTATCTCGATCATGATTTGTAGTTGAAACGTTGCATTTGTTTACAACTATTCTTACCAATGTATTTCGAGTAATCCAAGCCCGTCAAGTATCAATTCTCCTAAATGATACATTCTATATTCTTACACAATGAATCTTTCTCAACGATTTCAAATTTTGCACCATATATTTCTTACTTGCACGAAGCCATGTAGAACAGAAACAAACTAATTATGCACGCCATTTAACTTCAAAACGATGAGCTGGGACAGACGTCATAGATTACGTGTGTGGGCATCCATGATCTTCTTCTTCTTCTTGAAGTGCAAGTGCCCAATTTTGAAAATTCTATGAGTTAAAGGCAGAGATTTTTATTTTCATTTTCACCCAGCTTACATTTTTAATGTTTTCACATAATATTTAAGCATATTTTTCCTTTTATGATTAGCTTATTCACAATTACTGTCTTGGTGGCGATTTTAATGTAAATATGAATACTGAAAAAAAGAAAAGAATTTTTTGACGTCTTAAAAAACATTGATGGCTCAAGCAATAAAGCATTCGCCTTCCAATGAGGTGAACTGGGTTCGAATCCCGACACTAGCAGGTTGATACAAATTCCGCTTCCGTCTTGTCCCGACCACAGTGCTTACATAAAATATCCTCAGTGGTAGACGGATCATGGGTTAAAGTCCCCATGTCGTCAGGCTAACCGTGGGAGGTTCTCGTGGTCTTCCTCTCCATGTAACTCAAAGGTGGGTTATTTTCATCAAAAAGTCTTCCAAGAAAGCAAATTTCTCCTAAAACTTTATCCAGAAATCCCTTGTCTTCTGAATTGGGTTCAAAATTGCATGGCTACGTAGTTGAGCATTAGTAGTCGTACACCCAGAAATCGGGTCTTCTGTTCATCAAGGGTTATAAAATACGAAATATTGGACGACAAGAGGACAGACATCAAATGCAGTTTTTGCAACACATGACTAAAAATGCTGTGGTGTTTATGAAAGTCTATTCAGAAATAAAAAACATTTGGCTAATTTTAACCAGTGTTCGCAATAATGCCATCACAATTTTATCTCTTTTGTAATTAATCATCTTCATGTTCTTTTCACATATATTTTTTCTTTCTTAAAGTTTCAGACAATTTTTTTCCTTTTTACTTGACTGTACTTAGTCATTTAAGACATCAAAAATTTTAAATTACAAAAACAATACAAATAAAATCATTGAGATAAATGTTAATGTCTTGTAAATAAATGTTAAATACTATTATTTTTATTTCTTTTATTACTTCAAATTTTGATAAAAATGAAACTGAAACCCAAATAGAAATAAACATTGGACTCAAAAGAAAAATACAATAGATAAAACTAATTAATTTGAGATTTGTAACTCAACTCAACGAACTAAATTTCTTGAACAGAAATTTGAAAAGAAAGGATTGTTGCTTTTATAAACCTTAACAAACATCACTTCAGTTGCTAAGTTTAGCAATTTATATCAATAAAAAGAAATAACTTACTTTGTTGCCAGAAATCTGCACTCCTTTTATTCAAAGAAAATTAAAAATCGGCAGAAGTAAGTCAAAATATCTTCTTATCTGTCCTATACTACCAACAACACATGTTTCTTCTCATACAATGATAAAACTTTTTTTTAAAAGTACAATATAAAACCAAGTGTAATTTAATATATAATTTTTATAAAATATTTATTTTTATGAAAGTCATAAATATGTACAGTTCTCAAAGTAAAAAATGAACCAACCTGAATAACTTTTGATCTAATGATCGGATCTTCTCGTTCTAGGACTTAATCTTAATGGCTCGAGAAGGTGATTTCAAATATACTAACTACTATGTGCAGACGATATTTTAAGTTGCGGAATAAGTCACAAAAAAGTTAATCTCTGAATAAACATTTTTTTTTGTTGAAGAATATGGTTTTTTGGCCCCCAAAATATAGGGGGTGATCCGCCATCTGAGAAATATGATCTCAATAGTTCGGTCGGGAGAACACTCCAAAATTTGAACCACTTAATGTTAATTTTACTTTCGGTGTATTTTTCTATATTTCGAGAACTTTTTAAGCGAATTAAAAAAAATTCTCACACAGTTATAAAATTTGGTTATCCAAAGACAATTCCGTGCATAACTTTCAGTAAATACTATCTTTGGATAAATTTGCTAAAACTTATTTATCTTTGCCTAAAAAAATCGAAACGTTTGCGAAAAGGTATTATTTTTGGATAAACGAATTTCAGAATTGTGTGTAAAAAAGTTTCCTTACAAAGCTTGCGGGATATAACGAAATAAGCAAAAAGTAAAATTAGCATTAAGGGGCCCAAACTTAGGAGCACTCTCCTGACCGAACTATTGGGAACATGTCTCTCAGATTGGGGCTACCCCCTATATTTTGGGAGTCAGAAATCCGAATCCGTCAAAAGAAAAGTAGGCTTATTCAGAGAAAGTACGTTTTTGTGTCGGATTTTGTAACTTAAAATATCGTCTGCACTTATTAATCTCCATATTTAAGACCACCCCCTCGATCCATTAAGATTGAGTCCTAGAACGTGAAAATCCAATCATTAGATCAAAAGTTATTCGGGGTGGTCCTTTTTTGGGCAATGTACACTTAAAAGAATAAAATTAGGTTTGTTGCTTTTATACTTATAGGCAATAAATAATATTTCAAGACTTTCACTATTTCTGAAAAATTATATAATATTGATTGATCATTAATTCATTCTACACAGATTGATTTAAGTCGTCGTGTAACAAAACAAATTAGAATTCTTCAGATTATGTAGTTTCAAAAACATGCTTAAATTAACTTAGAAACAAAGCTTTAAACAATGATTCTATTTAAACCAGGGATGCACAATGAATTGGTGATAATGACTCGGTGAATTTTAGATGCAGAAACTAAAAAAAAAATTTTATGTTAAATAAAAGGAAGAATGTGTGTATAACTTTCTGTCAACGTCAGTGTGACGGTGTCACTCTTTTTTGCAAGAATTCTGAAATTCGGAGGGCAGGAGAAAAGGGGAAAGGGAGAGGCAGAATTTTAGGTCCAAAATTCCCCGATCCTAAAATTTGATCAAAATTTTATTGAGTCCATTTGGAAGATATGTTTGAAAATGCATTTTTCTCATTAGTTTTATGATTACTTACTGTTATAGATTGAACTAGATGATACTGTTATTACAAATATTTACAGTGCTATTCATTGTTTACACTGATTTAACTTTTTCCTAATTATTTAAACAAAAAAGTTTATCCCGCTTATTTTTATTATTGGATTATTTTTATTCATTATCTCAGGTTTTCTCAATGATGAACGCAACTGGTATATTAGGGCTACATCACCGAATTAGTATTTCTAAAGATATTCGAAACCATGCATTTTTTTTTCATTTATAATTAACTTTAGAAACGTGTTCCTATGAAAGTAAATAATTTATAATTAACGGTGATTAAAATAAAATAACTTTGTAAAAGAAAAGCAAAATTAATAGAATAAAGATAATCATTTCGGAGACCATAAGAAATGCCATACTATTATTGGCACTAATAAATTTGATAATGAGTACAATTAGTATTATGGTAATAGGATCCGTTTTTATAATAGTGAAATATACTAGTGATGTACATAATATTACCCAATATACTAATAATACAGCATAATGTAGGTATACTACTGTAGTAATATGATTTTACGCCCACCAAGGTAAAAGGCCAGAAAAAAATTTCTTGATCGCGGGACGTTTTGACTGTCATTAGTTAGTTTTGAGAAATATCACTATGCCAAATAATAATAAATATATTTAAGCCATATTTTGATTAGGCACTGAGGATGCCGGCAGTTTCTGCCGAAAATTTTTTATTTTACCGGAGCATATTACGGAAAAAAAATATCTGATATACAGTAATAACTGCCATAAAACAGCAGAATCACTCCATTTAAATAAGTATTACTGTAAGAGTTACGGTATAATATTTTAAGATCAAATTTAATTTTCGTAAAAATGGATTTTACGAGTGATGCCGAAATTTTTTATACCGTATTCTAACATATAATAATAAATTTTTAACAAATTAATAATTTCTGCTTATGACAATATCGTTTATGATTTCGTTCCATTGTTAAATAAGGATTTAGTAATTACTTACTTTTTTTTACCAAAAACATAGGACGGGTATTCTGTGAGTAAAAAACAATTAAAAGAATTTTTCGGTAATTTTAAAAACATATAATATGTTAAAATCTATATCTATCTGATATAAATATATCTGAGGATTAGGGTCGATTTACACTAGCATAACAAAATTTTTCACTATGTGCAAATAATAAGAATTAAAATGAATAAAAACAAATGTAAACAAATATAGCTATTGGGTTACAAAGCAAATTATTGCAGCAAAAGGTACGAAAAAGAAAACAAAAGCAGATACTTATAAATTTTCAATTCACCATACAAGTTAACTTTTTCTGCATGGTGAATAGGAAATTCTTTACTTTTTTCTTATTATTTACTTATTATTTACTTTTTTCATTTTGAAAATTTACTTTTTATCCTATAGAATTATAGAAATTTGTAAGAAAACACATATCACAATACACATATCACAGTACACATGCCATAATATCAAACCTTGATACTTTAAGAAAGACAGAATTAGATCGAAAATTTACAGTTACAGAGCACGGCTGAAAAAAAAGATAATTTTTCTTTCCTTACGTGCTATAATTAATTTTTAAGAATTCAGAGACCAAGTTAAAAGGCTATAGAGACAAATTTCCCTCCATGGGCCTCAAACAGCACGTCAATAATTCAAAATGAGCATTTTTAGAATGTTATTCTACTTGAATTTATCAAAATATATGTTGAGCTGTGTTAATGAAATGATAAATTTCAATTTTGCTTTAGTTCTTTATTTATAACACTAATACATGAAAAATTTAGACAAAAATGTTCATTTGTTACAAAATTGGCGAACGGTAAGACCATTTTTTGCAGTTGGAGAAACACATTTTGCTACGACTATATCAGCACGATTGCTGCATACCCACTTCAAGCTGTCATCACACTGTAGAGGATTTCCTAAAAATTTCATGCAAAACTTTTTAGTAACATTTAAGTTATGTTAAATACAGAATTTTTAAGTTGCAATTCACTTATATTAAATACGGAACTTTTTAGTTGCTATTTACTTACATTAAATACGGAACTTTTAAGTAAATATTTATTCATATTAAATACAGAACTTATAAGTACTAACTTATTTATATTAAATACAGAACTTTTATATAACAATTAATTTAAATTAAATACAGAACTCTTATAAAGCAATTCACTTATATTAAATACGGATATTAAGTAACAATTTATATTAAATACAGAACTTTCAAGTAACAATTTATTTATATTAAACAAAGAACTTATGAGTTGCTATTCACTTATATTAAATACCGAATTTTTAAATTGCAATTTACTTATTTTAAATACAGAAGTTAGAATTTATTTATATTAAATGCAGAACGTTTACGTTACAATTTATTTATATTAAATAAAGAACTTTTAAGTAACAATTTATTTATATTAATTACAGAACTTTTAAGTTGCAATTATTTATATTAAGTACAGAACTTTTATGA